GAACGAACAAACGAACCAACAAACCAACAAACCAACATCAACTCGTTTTTTTGTAATACCTGCTCGACGCATAACCCTCCTTTCAGTAGAGGGAAAAATATATCTCTTGCTTGATATAATACATTTCTAAATTCCATTATAGATCAACTTATCCAAATGATAATACACAGATATTTTGTGATAATGTTACTTTGATAAATTATAAACCATCATTTGCCAGAGGAATTCCGTCACATGTTTGTTTACTTAATCTGAAAGAGTGTCAGATTGAAATGCCAATTGATGATCAATTTTGGTCTATTATTCCGACTTTATTTCGATTGAACAGGTTAACAATCTTATCATACAGTGATATTTATCAAGATCAACTTCAGTGTCTTCTTGATCGAGCTCCCAACATTCATTATCTCAATGTCAACTAAAATGTGTCAGAGTCTTCTTTCATGTCTTCATTTAATTGTAAACATTCAAATGTGCAGTGCCTGTATCTTCGACACTATGTCGTTGAAGAAAATTATATTTTTAATGAAGAAGACTGCAGGATATTGGTTCATTCTTCCTTAGGCAGACAATGCAAAGAACTTTCAATTTATGTCAATAATCGTGAAAATATCATTTATTTGATCGAGAATATGAAGAATCTTTCTATGCTCGATGTAAAATGTCAAGATGATGGATATCTTCAGGATCCAAATAGAAGAGAAGGTAATGATGAACTCATTAATTGGCTAAGAAAGCGTTTTTCATCACAAATATCCATCGTACGATGTCCCGAGTATCATCAGATATGCATATGGATTTGAAGAAATGAACAAATTTTATATTCAAAAATGTAAATGCTCTACTTTTCCTCCGAATAAAAAATGATGAATTTCCATCGAATAACAAGAAGCCTTCATATCATAACAATCATCATGGATAGGAAATATCGAAGGAAAGAAATATCAGTGTGAAGCTAGCACGAAGGAGCTACCGCGAAGAAACTGTGTGTAAGCTGAAAACATTTTTCCAAAGTTTGTCCGGTTCATAAAACCTAGTCCATTCGATTCAGAATTTAATTTTGCATCGAATGGTGGTATTTTTATTCACCGGACAAACTTTGGAAAAATGTTTTTAGCTTACACACAGTTTCTTCGTGGTAGCTCCTTCGTGCTAGCTTCACACTGATAGATTTTATTACGTCGATTAAAGAAATTCGATTTGATTTTAACTAACAGTGAAAATGACATTGTTCAAGATCTCGTCGATTTTCTCAGCGCATTCGAAACAACAACAACAACAATTCTTTCTGCATCTAAATTATATCCAACAATGAGTTTATGTTTATTACTGCGTCTGGTAAGTATAGAATGATTGCTTTGGAAAAAAACTACGGTAAAACCTCTCTAAAGTGAACACCAATGGGACCGGCCNACGAAACCGATCGTTAGTTTTGCACCAACCCATTACTGAAGATTTTAATCTAATTTCTACGAAAATAATCATTAATCTTCGTTCACTTTTCTCTCTGTGAATCGTTGAATAGTGAAATAAGTGGTATATCTATTTAAATAAAGAGTGAGTGTCATTCTAGCTGTTGAATACATCATTATATGCAAGGTCAATCAGTTCTTTGTTGATTGCATTTTCCTTGTTTTTTATGTATAAGCTATCAATTGGATGTAAACTGTCAATTAGTATTGTTCGTCTATTCGAAATATTTGATAAATTTTGTTGTAATAATTAGAGTGTCAGTGAGTTTTGTTAGCATTGATTCAAAAAAACTACAATAGACTATTTTATCTCCGGTTTCTTTCATTCAAACGTATATACTTTTTTGTACATTCGTTCATTATAGAGAGGTTTTCTCCACTTTGGGACCGAAAAAAAGCGTTCACTGTTCAGAGTTGGGAGGTGTTCATTATATAGAGGTGTTCATTAAGGGAGGTTTTACTGTATATGAGAATTAGTTAAAATGTTCGAATATGAAAACAAAAGATATTGAAACAAATTTGATATTTTCTTGCGCGACCTAAGGCGATAAGTTTTTAAAATGAACGTTGATTCACAAATTTACTTTATCTAATCTAATAGTGTGTATGTTCATTCAAGTCAATCTTTATTTTAGGAGATCCAATCAATGTTGAAATCAACAGGGACAGAATCTCCAGTAATTGAACAATTAAAACAATTAATGCGTGCAAATTTAGACGCAAGGTTCCCAGTCACATTATTAACTTTATGCGGTTTCCTGTTGGATCCTTCTCAATTAAAAATTGATATTCATTTTTATTTATCTCAGCATCAAACGACACAAGAAAAGCTTTTCTTGGACATGCTCAATACATTTAAAATTAATCACGTTTCAAACACATCAGATGGAATCGAAATTATTCAAATTTCATCTGTATCGACAGATACGTCCGAGTTCAATCTCCTCGAATGAAACGACATTTATCGACGGAATCTACAAGTGAATCTGCACGTAGCTTGAAGAAACTTTGTGAGAACCTAATTCAGAAACATACGCCATCACCAACGAGTAGTATTGATCCACTTATTGTCGAGATTGATAGTTATTTGAAATTGGACATAGTTTGCGATGATGTACTGGAATTTTGGAGAGTGTCGGGCGAAAAGTTTTGTAATTTGAAAAGACTCACACAAATTGTTCTGGCAATTCCAGCTACTTCCACTCCTAGTGAACAAGTTTTTTCCACAACAGGATTGATTTTAAATGCGAAGCGCACAATGTTAGCACCCGAAAATGTTGGCAAAATTCAAGTAATTCATGATAATTATGATATATTTAAAAAAATCTAGTGATTGTTTTTGTTTTTATAACTGTTGTGATTTTGTGAGTATGTAAATTACTTGTATTTATTGTTTTATGTACATGTAACGTTCTCCTTTTGAATATTTAACTACTCAGATACGTAAGAGAAATGAATAGATATTTTCTTATTTGTCAGAAGCAGAAGATTTTTTTAGCTGCCGCCGCTGAAGGACTGCACGGCTTACACCTCTAAGTGTAGGACTTTAAATGAAGGATATATGGGCGCGCCCTCGAAAATAACCGTTTCATAGAATATAAAAGTCACAGTGGCGAAATTATCGGTTCATATAATGATTGTAGTGGTCTTATTGCATAGATCCGGATATACTTCGCAGGATTTTGGATCGGTATACTGTTGATGGCTATTTTCATTGTGATACAATGGTAGAGATTCAACGGAAGATGTAAGTTGGATTTTTATTGTCTACAACGAATTATCAAGTTTCGCACACAAGCTTGGTTGTAATACATATTTACAATCAAGTATTAAACAAAGCGAAACATACTAGCGATAATTCTCTGCTCGATAAAGTGGAGTACAGTTCATCCTGTACACTTTACATTGGATTTGTTTCGAATAAATGTTTTTCGTTCTCTCTCAAGAATAACACCTGTACATGCACACGTGTACGACCATTGAATTAATCCTAAAAGAAAAGAAAGTATCAAAGCTTTTATACAGTCACAGTTCGATGACTTTTTCTTTCCTGTAAAGTTACGCCCATAAATTACTGTTGTATTTATTGTATGTATACATCCTCCCAGTGCACTTTATTTTACTAGATAAACCTCTATTTCAGTTCACACAGTCGCCTTTCACAAAATGCCGTTTATCACGGTGGGTGATAAAATTGCTGATACTTCAACGGCGAGAAGTTTATTTTCTCTTATTGAGCAGCAGAAGCATGTGGTAAATCGAACAACGCAACAGTTGAGCGAACTGTCCGCCGATGATTTTGCCAAGTGGGGTGTGGAACATGGAGCTGAATTAGAGTACAGAGCAGAGTTAGCTCGTCGCATTGCACAAACGTTTGACAACGCTGAGAGTATATTGATGTTTGACAATATTCATCCGTCTGGTTTAGATGGCTTGACAGGTGCTGATGTTAGTGATGCAGATCGATCACTTCTCTGCGCTCTGTGGTTCTCGACTGGATTCCCTAAGGGAGGTAAAGTACTTATCTATGCACCACCAAATCCAGTCGAAATGAAGAGTTATACAAAGCTGAAGAAGATTGTGGAACAACGCTTACAAAAACANGCTGAGAGTATATTGATGTTTGACAATATTCATCCGTCTGGTTTAGATGGCTTGACAGGTGCTGATGTTAGTGATGCAGATCGATCACTTCTCTGCGCTCTGTGGTTCTCGACTGGATTCCCTAAGGGAGGTAAAGTACTTATCTATGCACCACCAAATCCAGTCGAAATGAAGAGTTATACAAAGCTGAAGAAGATTGTGGAACAACGCTTACAAAAACAGGTGCCAATCCAAATTCTTTACGAAACAGACAACGGTATGATACTATGCGTTAGAGAATCTACTAACAAGCGTATTAATTCTAGGTGCACTAAAAGACATTTTGAAGCTCTTTATTGAAAATGAATCAGAGTACACCAAAATGTGTGAACAATTTGCGCAAAGACCTGCCGATCAAATCATACCTAGTTTTCGCTTCCATCTTGACTCAATCAAACGGCATGTGAATACGTTAACACAAGATTCAAAACGTTTGTTTGTGTATCCCTACCAGATGACCAACGAATATAAGAAAGAATTGGAACCGCATTCGGATAAGCTTATTCTACCTGATATCCCGTCGGATGACAAGGCTGATCATCACTTTCTACTACAATCACATAATTATCCAGATTTGTTAGTTACACTTGGTATAGCTTCGGACGGAACTGTGATTGACAATTACGAAACCTATGCTACTGCCAGTAAAACAGAACGACGTAAAAAGACACCGGAGAATGTGCGAGCATTCGCGCAGGGTATTGTTCGCGCAGTAGACCGTATTCAGCACGATTATCATTTGAACACTTTTGCCAAATATGATTCATCTGGTTGTGGCGGCGGAACGAATATGAGTCCGGATTCTTATTCACTTCTGTATGATCAAAGCAAAACAGAAAATGAACGAATCGACTACCTGGCTAAGCATATCTGTGAGGGATGGCGAGAAGAGCTCTTGCCACCGTTTGGAGTTGTCGAAGAAATGGAAGAAGCCGAAAAATGGCCTGGTGTACCTGCGGATTACGGTATTTGTGGATTTGTCTTGAATGGAAAATTCTATCCTACTTCTATCAATGTGGAGCGAACTACTCATGGTCAGTACGGTGGAATGGTAAGTCCTTTCCTATCATATTGAACCAGAAAGATTCTTTTCATTTTTAGTGGATGGCAGCAAAGCCTGATGATATAGATGATACTGTTGAACTATGGCAGAAAATGTTCGATTCATTCGATCGAATGGTCAAGATAGAGATGGAGCCGCTATCGTATCGAAATGGTACCTATTCTGCGGATCTCTTCGTCACGTCCGATAACGAATTAAAACTGCGTGATTGGAATCTTCGTCGTGGCGGTCACTCTGCTCCTGAATCTCTGATTATATTTGGAATGCCAAATTATGAAATGAAGATGACATTCTATCTGAAAGATTTCGATCAATGCAAATGTCATTTTACAGCTGTACAACTCTTTCAAATCTATACACGCATCTGCGACATTCTAGTGAACGAACATGGAATATGCATGATCAATACTGGGTTAGGCTATTGTGGGAAACTCGATAGTAAAGGAAATGATTTTCTCAAGTTTCATGTGCTCGTTCATCCATCTGCTTTCATTGATTATGGGACCGGTAATGCCGAAGGAAAACCGGTGCCATATCGAGAGCATCCCGACAGAACCACTGATTTAGTTCGTGCTGTAGTAGCAAAAGTTCTTCTCAACTGTTGATTGTTTCTCGTTTGATAATCAATAAAAGAGAAGACATCTATTGTGATTGTTGTTATACTAGATCCTAAGAGTCATCCGTAGCCACACCCATCAAATAATGAAAAGATCAACAATATTTTATTGTGTTTCTTTTAACTTATCTTGAAACACGTTGTATTAGATATCGTTATCTTATACTGTCAACTCGTCCCTATTTGAAACGGATGATACTAACATACTTTTTACATTCTCATCGATATACAATGTCATTAGTTCGCACTTGGATTTCTATTGTCTTAACTTTAAATATCGACCCAATTCTGTTAAGTCATCACTGTTTCGTCGAGGGTATATCTGTACAACGAACACCTATTTCAGATAAGAAATACGAACAAGTGATTGCTGAACGCTATCTATTTACTCCATTCGCAGATGAATGCACTGCTTGGACTGTTCTCAACAACGTTTCTAATGCGTGGCAGGTTGTTGCATTACCAGAATATCATTTTCGAGCCGCTGAAGGTGTTTGGTTACTGATTCAAGCTAGCACTCAACCTCCAGCACGTAATACTTTACAAATGGCTTGGATGTCTTTGTTTGCGAATGGTACTCTACTAGCTTTATCGGATATTGACGTGAACAGCAAAGCGAGTTTATTAGTTGTGTCACAAAGTATCAGTCGTAGAATGCTCTACACTGCTGCTCTGATCTCACCCGACGATATTCAGCTAATTCTATGTGATCAGTTCATTGCAACGTCATGTAAAGTGACACGAAGTATTTCATTTCCAGCTGTACTTACTAGAGCAACTGCAATAAGGGCTGGCGTATTTATTGAAGATTTTGGAGTTGCAGGATGGTTGTATATCGCTACTGACTCTGGTTTACATGGATTGGATCTTTCTACATTCACCGTTATGTCTTTCATAAATGGAATCAATGTATCTGTTTCTTCATTAGCATGGAGTTCAAAGCGACAGGCCGTATTTGTCGGTACTGAAAAGAAACTTTGGATCTGCTCCTATGGTAGTAAAAATGAAGGTTGGCGGTTTGAATATGTTACCAGTATCATTGATGCACCCATTACTTCGTTAGTATATAACAACGTGCAAGATAAACTATGGATTGGTCAAAGCACCGGGATAACTCTTGCTTCGCCGATTATCATGTCAACTGGACGCCTTCATTGGTATTTTTCTCGTTTGGCTGGACAAATTTCCAATCCGGGTTCAGATATTGGACATCTACCCTTTGCTAATATTACTGCTTTAAGTGTAAGTCATTCAAAATCGTCACCAGACGGTCGCGTATGGTTAGGTGCTATGAGGGGAGTCATGCGCTTTGATCCGAACACCACAGATCGAAACGCTTGGCGTGTTTTTAATAGTGCGAGATATATTCCAAATCGCGATGCAGTAGCAGAAGTTTCTTCATTGGCTGTATTGAGTCCGATTAGTAGCGCATCTGTTGAATTAGGTACTACTGCTGTAGCTGTTACGAGTAAAGGTTTAACGGTGCTTCGATTCGAAATGTGGACCTTAAAACAAAAGGCAGAACATTTTCAAGCATTCTTTAACCGACGGCACAGGCATGAAAAATACGGTCTGGTATCTTCATGCTATATGAGTTCCTGGGGAGATAGTCGTACTTGTATCAAAAGAGCAGATGAAAACGATGGTCTTTGGACTTCGATGTATTTGAGTAGCCAAATCTTTCGTTATCAAGTCACTCAAGATGTGACAGTCAAAGCATCGGC